ATTCAGCTCTCTCTTGCTCACTGGATTTGGAACAGTTGTTGCTTTCTAACTCAGATCTGTTATTCTTCTACCCATTAAACTAGCGTGGCAAAAAGCAAGCATTTTAAAGTGAGAGGGGAACCATTTCTACAGATAATAAATGAAACATTTTGTATTCCTGAACACTGGCTGAACATTCCTGAATTCTGGCTTGTCCAACTACAGCAAGCTCTGTGCTCACATTAAGGGAGCCCGCTCGTTGAAGGTCTACCTCAATGCCTAAGTCCCATGCTAAATTTTTGCTCAAGGACTATATCAGCAAAAATCTGGCTTTTGTTTCTGCAAGCTTAGAATTTATTTTATGCAAATACTGTCCAGTATCTGTTTAAAAGTCATGTTTTCAGCCCGCAGTAAGATCACTACCATCATTTGGAAAGATCATGCCCAAGAAAGGCACAGGTAGAGTCAGTATGAATGATATTAAAGTGGGTGTAAGAATCATGGAAACTTTCCCTTTTTTTTTTATACTCTTCCCTAGGCCTTACCCTATGCAAAGTCTTTGCCAATGTCAAATGCTCTCGCTGCATGGTGCTACGCATGGCCCTGTCTGCGCAAACGTGCTGTAACCACGTGTCACGCCCTCTTAAACCCCCTTGGGGCTCCCGACCTAACAGCTCTTTACCCTTGGCCCAGGCTGGGACTCGCTCAGACAGACAGGCAGACAGACGCACGCATGCACGTACAGACACGATGTGTGCCACTCTGCTGAGATACTCTGAGGTGGGTGCAAACGGAGTCTTGGTGGATTTTTCTGTGCCTAGGTCCACCAGTTCTCTGACTGAATCATCTTCTGTATAGATATGGAAACATTAATCAAAGCAGCTTGGATTGTTTTTGCACACTTAAATTGTCCTCTCCAGCTGTCATAGGAGGAGGCCAAGCATTACTGTCCCTAAATTGGCTGATGTTCGGGTCTCTGCTGTGTGTGTAATAGCTAAGCTGTAAACAAGAGAGCTTGCTCCATTGTTTCTGACGGGATCTTGTCCAAGGGAAAACAGAGATTGTCTTCAACAATTTGAAGCTTGTGTAGGCAGACAATACATTGACTTTTGCCTGGGGATGGCGTGAAGCACGCCTCTCCTTCAGACCAACGAAGCAGCTGAGAGCCGACATGAATTGAAAGTAACACTGAGCATGCGCTCTGCTGAGAGGATGGGTCAGTCCCTGGGCAGCTGTGATGTCTGCGTGTAAAAGCATACTGAAAGAAGTAATTTGGATTACCAGGCTCCTTTTCCTGCATACACCGACATCTTTGATCTACTGGATCTCCCCTCTGATTTGAATAGTTTAATGAATAATGGTCAGGTGTGCAATTAACTGTTAGCTACTGAAAATAATATGATAGACAGTAGCGCGCGAAGCATTTTCAGCTGCAAAAAATGAGCTTGCAGTTACTGAAGGTGAACATCAGTTGATGGGAAGTCCAGCCTGAGTATGGTAATGCTTCAGCAGGCTTCTTCCCAAGAATGCTTGTAAATGCATCCTTCAGGAAGAAAGGCACAAGATAAAGAAGGCTGAACCCAAGCCATAGGAAAGCAGTATGAAATTAAAAACAGTATGAAGTCAAAATTAAACCATAATTGAGAGTCAGTTGCACAGTCGACAGAAGAGGTCTGGGTATAGCTGAACCTAAACTCTTGCAAGACCAGAGTGCTGAACACTCTTCATCTTGGTCACCAAGGTACCATGACGCATGGCTGTACAACGCAGTCTGTCCTATTCTGGCCACGTAAATCTGCTGTCATCAAAGATAACGTGTATGTTTGCGCAACTTGCGATTGATCCAGAAAGCAAAACGTAGGACTTCCCTAATTTTACTGACATTTAATCACGGGTGGCACAGACTGTCCAACTACAGAGGAAATATTCCTATTATTAATGGACTGTTGCTCAGTTGCTTGCAAACCGTGCTGTTGCACAAGCCTTTTCATGAAACAATGCCACGAGGGTTTATGCAGGTTTGGTCAGGATGAGATTGGAAATAATAAACAGCAATAGTTTGCAGTCTATAAGCTGCTGGGCAACTTTCTTCTCATAGTTCCAAGTGTGCCTTTATCAGTCACAGGCAAAAAGGTTAGGTGGAAAGAGAGCACAAACAGCAAACATAACGTGAAAGGAATGGCTTAGTGTTTTGTAGGTTCAAGGTTAGTTTGTCTGGAATACTGAAACATACTCTGCAATGAACTGCCAATATAGAGGGTCAAGTTATACACGAGTCTGTGCTTCAGGAGGACAACTCCTAACTTTTGGCAAGCCTCTTCAGCCAAATGTGGGTGAAAATACTACAGTATGAAAACAGTAATGTGAGTCTGCCCAGCAGGTACAACTTTTTTTTTTTTTTTTTTTACATAAGCATTTGCGTGGGAGGGGAACATGAGATTTCAAATGTACCTGGCAACCTGCCGAAGCGATAGGTATGACCCACGTTAACTTATAGAGCTTAATTACTTCTGATGGTTAACCGACAGAGGCAACAGAAAACAGTAAAACAAAGGAAGCCACCGGCTGCCTGTTTCCTTCAGGCATTCAGAGCGCCTCTGAGAGTGCCGTTGTGCTGACACAAGCCTTGTGCTGCCCTTTACGGACAGACAGACACCTACGCAGTCACGCGTGGGAAATCACACATTACTGGGAAGGTTCAAAGACCGAATAAAACTTTGTAGAAAGAACTGGTTAGAAGAAAATTTAATCTGAGTTTGCAGGCTCAGTAACTTCTAGTATTTCTGATGAATTTCAACATTAAGCCCGATGATCTCAGTTTAAGTAGGCCATTTCTAGCCCTCAAGGTTGCACTTACAATCTGATTAAAATTTCAGAAACCAGAAAGTAGAAGAATCCAGTGTTCATTGAAAAGAAAGGACCGCACAAACTGAATGCCTATGATGGTACTAAAAGCAGCTGAAATAATCATCTGATCATCAGAAGGCTCAGTTTTTTCTGTTTGGCCTTTGATTTCTGAATTATTCCTTTATTATTCAGCATTATGTTTGAACTGACTTATCCCAAATCTCACCATCAAGCAAGTCGAACATCTGAGGGCAAGAAATGTTACTTTCTCACCAGCTTTCTGGCGTATGGTGCCTTTAGACATCACTGGTGCTAACATCCAGCGTGCTTCCTTCCCCAGCTCATCAGCAAACACAGAGAGCTGCAAGTGCCTGGTAATAACTTGGAGCAGCTTTGAAGAGTGACGGTACCATTCAGCGGCGTTCGTTCGTTCTTGCTTGGCTGGCTCATCAGACTAAGGAAGGATTTTCATCTGTATTTCATTGTTTCTTGCGTTTCTTAGGAGCGTTTTGGAGGCAGTATCCCAAGGAGTGCCTGGTCACCGAAAGGAGGAAGTCTGAAAACTCGCCAGGTCTCGCCACTGAGTGACTGACGTTTTACTGGGGTGACACGCCAGCGCCGGCAGCTGCCATTGACCCCCAGCCCAGCTTTTATACTGGTTTCCAGTCCCCATTACCACTTTCACAGTAAGCGAAAGGAGAAAAAAACCTCATCCACCATGCCATGAATTTCTTCCTTCCCACCGCTGCATTAATTAAGCAGCTCAAACGTTTACTATTAAGGTTGAAAAGCTCTACGCTGTTTTTTGTTGGTGACCAAATGTGTTTGCCTCAGAGCTTGCTGGGCCTTTGCCCACGGCCTGCTCCCTCCCTGCGGGGCCCGGAGCCCCGCGCTCCGGCAGAGAGACACCCCCTGCCTCCCGGTTTAGGCTGAGACGGGGGTCGGCTACACCGGGACGCGGCGGGGTTGACGGTTTTGGGGAGGATGGCGCTGAGGAGGGAGAAGCCCCGGCCGCCGCCATGCTGGAGGCCGCCGCCTGTGGGGAGGAGGGGCCCCG